TTATTTCGATCATGTATTTTGTGTTTTTATATTGTGATTTTATTCTGTGAACCACCCTGAGACCTGCGGGTATAGGGTGGCGTACAAATTTTAATAATAATAATAATAATAATAATAATAATAATAATAATAATAATTAATATGCCAGTGGCTTCTTCATCCCATTTATTTGTGGAGAGGCTATATAAGGCAAACAATCGTTACCCCACACTTCCGAGCACATTTTGCCATCGTGGACCTTCCTGCAAAAAGTTGTGTGTGTGTGTTTTAAATGGAAATGGGTTTGTTGAGGAAGAGCACCAAATTCACTTCAACCGCTGAACCTGAATTGGTCCGGAAGTGGCCAGTGTTTTTGGCAAAACTTCTTGCTGAGTCGGTTACAATGCTCTGGCGCACACAACTTGCAAGGCCATCTCATGGAGGATGAGCTGCGCTACACTCCCCGCCCACAACCCATGTGTGAGCCAGGGGATCTATGACAGTGCCCCATCCCCCCGCCTCCTTTTTAGTGCGTTTATGTCAGAAATTGTGCAAGCAGCACCCTCCACAAAACCAGCCGTCCCCATGGAACACCCTGTTTATGTATCATCTGAGCAGCGGAGGGGATTCAGGGAACAATCCACACCCGCTATACAAAGGCCTGCAAATTTGCAGGATCCTGGCAGCATTTTCACTTAAATTACAGAATAGCATCTTCTGAAGTATATATTGCATGAATATCAATGTTTCCCATTTGTGCTTAAAACCTGGGTCCTTAATATAAGCACCCAGTAGCTGACTATTTGGAGAACTAAAAAAATAAAACAAAAAATCCCTTGGCAGAATTTGCAGTTTTCAGCTACTTAACGCTGGAATAAAGCAATTAATTTCAATGGGAGCAAATTTCCAGGGCCTCTTCCAAGCCAATTGGCCTAGCCTTTGCTGGTGTCTTTTCATCTGTGGTAGCTACTGCCACGTCACATCTCTGGCCATGTACGAAATCCACCGGAAAGTAAGTGGCCAGAATTTGTATACCAGTGATCAGGTCAGGAGGCTGTCTGTTCCACTGGCAATCAACCCTATTCAAGGCCACTGTTTGCCTCTGTTCTGTGCCATTGTGGCAAGGGCCAATTTAAGTGGCACAGCCACTCTGTGGGTCTTGCTGGAAATGTGCCACACTGCATGTTACGTTACAAACCCGAATACACCAACGGCCACTAGGGAGGCACCGTCCTGGCATAGAGGTGTTGCACAAGTCTGGGCTGATGCCCAGGCATTTCAACACAGCAGGCGCCGTGGGCATCATGCCCATGAAGATGCACTTTTGAACAACCTCCACATGACACCCAGCTAACATTTACAATGAATTTTCCAAAACAGCAAAACGCCAAAATGAAATAGAAATAGAACACGTGACATGAAATATCCTGGAATCAAGGACAACTCCCCCCACCCACCCAAAAAACCATGCTTGAGACAACAACCTTCTACAGTGGGCGCTGCTCATAACTTATTGCGAAGTGAAGACTTCAGTTCACTTAAGAAGCGTTGCAAAGTGAGATGCTAAAAGAGAGGCAGGTGAAAACAACGAAAACCTGATGGATTCTCAACACAGAGGAGGGGAAGTCAGTTTGGCATTTTGTTGATCTGCTCTTTTGGTTCCTTATCCAGCAGGTCTTCTTCTGCATGCTGCCAGCTAAGAGAGAGGCGTCAGACCTTTCGGCAAGATGCCGTACAAGCAGCAGAAGAGGCAGTGCATGAAGGCTGGCCATGTGTCCTACTTTATAGAGGGCGATCCGCAAACTCAGGGATGTCCAACAGGTTGATCGCGATCTACTGGTAGATCCCTGGGAGGTTTTGGTAGATCGCGGTCGATCGCTGAGTCCCTTTCCGCCCCTGCCCCCTCGCCCTGCCCTCCATTGTTGCATGATCTGCAGAATGGAAGACGGAGTTTCCTCGGTGAGGCTGTTTGTTTCCCCAGCGATCTGTTGGTGAGTGGCTGTTCCTCTTTGTCACCCCCCCAAAGGGACCTTCCTCCAGCTCAACAACTTTGACCTGAACCCCCAAAAATGGGGCTTTTCTCCTCCCTAAAGAAAGCTCAACAACTTTGACCTGTACACCCCACTAGTAAAGGTAAAGGTACCCCTGCCCATACGGGCCAGTCTTGACAGACTCTGGGGTTGTGCGCTCATCTCACTCTATAGGCCGGGAGCCAGCGCTGTCCGCAGACACTTCCGGGTCACGTGGCCAGCGTGACGAAGCTGCTCTGGCGAGCCAGAGCCACACATGGAAACGCCGTTTACCTTCCCGCTAGTAAGCGGTCCCTATTTATCTACTTGCACCCGGGAGTGCTTTCGAACTGCTAGGTTGGCAGGCGCTGGGACCGAGCAGCGGGAGCGCACCCCACCGCGGGGATTCGAACCGCCGACCATGCGATCGGCAAGTCCTAGGCGCTGAGGTTTAACCCACAGCGCCACCCGCGTCCCGTACACCCCACTGCCAGTTTTTAATTCTGTGAGTAGATTGCAGTCTCTTGGGAATGAGCCACCCCTGCTCTAACTGAAAGAGTCCTCTATTCGAAAGGTTACTGGGGCAAAGTCTACATTTCAAGATGGAAGAACCATGAAAAAGGGAAAGGGGGTGCTTGAAGTTGCCCACCGAGACTTAACATCTGGACAGCAGACTGAGCAAGCAGATGGGTCTCCTGATCTCAGTCTCCCTCATTATGCTGAGATGCATGGCATTTCTACTTAAATTATAGCAATTCTCTCCAAACTGGCATCTCTGCGTATAAATTACCAGGTTGGGGGGGGGGACCTCGTGCAGATCAATGTCCTCTTTTGCACTTCGTATGGCGATGCGTTCTCTATTTTATTTTTGGCAATGCATATGTGGCCTTTCTAAGCCATGTGTCAGAGTCAGGTCAGGACTGTGTGTGGCTGCACCCAGATTCAGTACCTTACACCTTATAGGTAAGGAAAGTGTGGAGTACTTGGCTCCTAGTACTTATCCCAGTTTTAGCCAATCCAGGGTTTCTTACTGCCTGCCAATTGCAGGAGCCTCTGCTGCACATTCCTATTCCCTCCTACACCTGAAGAAGCTTTGGAGGCCTAAGCACCTAAAGATGGGGGAGAAATCTGATTTGGCTTGCATTTGCAGGTGAATATACGCAATCTGTGCTTTCTGAAACCGTATGCAAACCAAAAACGCAGCCATCCTTCAAAATTCCCACTCCTCTGAATTTTGCAGTGAAGTTCTCCTGCCAAATGATGGAAGCCAAAATGCATCTGCCAGGGGGAAGTGAGGGATCAATCTCAGTGAAAGTAATATGCACAAATGCATTGCATTAGTGGGAACTGCTTGCAAAAAAGGAGGAAATTACACACAATTGCATCAAAAATGTGTGCATTACTGATGCAGCAATGTGGGGAAGTGAATTTAAAGGTAAAGGGACCCCTGACCATTAGGTCCAGTCAGGACCGACTCTGGGGTTGTGGTGCTCATCTTGCTTTATTGACCGAGGGAGCCGGCGTACAACTTCCGGGTCATGTGGCCAGCATGACTAAGCTGCTTCTGGCAAACCAGAACAGCGCATGGTAACGCCGTTTACCTTCCTGCCGGAGCGGTACCTATTTATTTCTTGCACTTTGATGTGCTTTCGAACTGCTAGGTTGGCAGGAGCAAGGACCAAGCAACGGGACCTCACCCCGTCGCGGGGATTTAAACCGCCGACCTTATGATCGGCAAGTCCTAGCGCCACCCGCATCCCTGAAGTGAATTTAGGATGGGAAAAATGAGAAAGCAAGAGAAACTGAAATTGACAGGATTTGCCCATTCCTACAAACACCATACCCTGATTCTGTGGTTTCCCCAATGCACAGCCTCTTGTCACAACGTCTGAAGCAACCTTTAGGTTTTACTCATTCCATATGCTGAAAAGGGAGACCACCTGAAGAAGTGCATGAAAAGACACTGGCCGGCACCACAACAAACAAGCAGAGCAAACGTCATACACTGAAATTCGCACACTGAGATCCAGACACTGGTTGGTTCACAGTCGTCATACAGGAGTCATCGCTTCAAAAGGAGACATTTTGTTTCTGGGCCGATCTGAGCACTGTCAAAACATTACAGCACATGGGTGCAGGATATGCAGCTGTAGTTGGGGCTAAATCGCACCCAGTATTTCAAAATATGAGGAACACTTACCTCAGACAGCTGAAAGCAATATCCAACCCTAAAAACAATGGTCCCATCTGCACTGTTCACTGAACTGCACTTCAGTCATGGCTTCCCAACCCCAAAGAATCCTGGGAACTGTTGAGAGTAGTTAGGAGACCACTGTTCTTCCCCCAGATCTACAATTCCCAGAGTGGTTTAACAGCTCATGCTCTTTCCCAGAAAACTCTGGGAAACGTAGCTTTCTGAGAGGAATAGGGATCCACAGTAGAACCACAAAAAACAATGAACCTAAGTTAGACCACATTCGCACCATACATTTGAAGTACTGTGATACCACTTTAAAACCGTCATGGCTTCTCCCAAAGAATTCTGGGAGCTGTAGTTCGTTAAGGATGCTGAGAGTTGTTAGGAGAACCCTGCTCTCCACAGAGTGGTTTAACAACCAAATCCTTTCCACAGAGAATTGTAGAGGCGAATTGGGCAGGTGGCGCTGTGGGTTAAACCACAGAGCCTAGGACTTGCTGATCAGAAGGTTGGCGGTTCGAATCCCCGCAACGGGGTGAGCTCCCGTTCCTGGGTCCCAGCTCCTGCCAACCTAGCAGTTCAAAAGCACATCAAAGTGCAAGTAGATAAATAGGTACCGCTCCGGCGGGAAGGTAAACGGTGTTTCTGTGCGCTGCTCTGGTTCTCCAGAAGTGGCTTAGTCATGCTGGCCACATGACCCGGAAGCTGTCTGCGGACAAACGCCGGCTCCCATGGCCTATAGAGCGAGATGAGCGCCGCAACCCCAGAGTCGGTCACGACTCGACCTAATGGTCAGGGGTCCCTTTACCTTTACCTTAAGAACTCTCAGCATCTTTCTACAATACTTCTCCCAAAACACTTGGGAGTTGTAGCCTGTGCTATTTCTACTCAAGAGTATATTCACCAAAGTTAATGAACATGACTAATGCAGTCTATTAATTTCAGTGGGTCTACTCTGAGCAGGACCTAGTTGGAGACAACTCTTGGTTTGCATGTTTAAGCATGCACTGAAAACACTGTATTAGGTCTAGATCTGAGAAACATAATGCAGGATTTGCACTGCCGGCCCGATGCAGCGCTTTGTTATGAAATGGAAAGTATTAAAACGACAACGACAACCCAGTCATCACAAAACACAAATGACCCATCCTGTTCGTTTACATTCGAAAAAGGCACAAAATGTTTGTTGCGAAAGTAACATTCCGACAAACCTCCTCACAAGTTCAACAGAGAAGAGTGACAGGGGATCCAGCCAATAGCCAGCCTCCCACTACCTATGCACTGAACCGGCTAGGTCCCGCCACCCATACGTACATTGGGCATATGTGCCACATCAATACACATGCGCAGACCTTTTCCATACACAGGAGGATCCTGATGGGTCCAAGACTAGCCCTCATGTGTCGGAGCTCCATGCGCAAACACCTGACACGTGCACATGGCCTTTCTCATGTGCGCCGACTGCACAAGCGATAGGGCTGCACAGACAACATGCCTGTCACCAGGAATTATGTTGCCTGTGCATGGATCCTTTCCTCTCCGCACCAAGAAACCAACAGCAACTGTGCAAACTTCTCTAAAGTTACAACCATTCTGGTTATAAGCATTCCAACCATCGCAGCAGAACAATGGACACCTCCTGAATTTGTTGGATTTCGCCTGACTGGAACGGAACAAAAGAGCAACATTTTTACGCCATTGGTGGAGGTAAAACAACAACAATGCAACCTTTTTTGGCTGGAAGCACATGCTGGGCTTTTTTTTTTTTTGGAAATGTGATTATTAATGCAAGCAATAAAAAAACCCTTTTGGATCTTTTTGGTCTATAGCAGATGACGCTTCACCAATGTACTCAGTGATAACAAAGGAGGTTCTGAGGGGAAGACCTTGTTACAAAGAGCCCTTATCGATTCCAAATGTAGGAACGCACCCGTCCCATGGCAACCCATCTGCTTTCAAAACTGGACAAATGAGGAATACGTAACAAAACCAGCACAAAAATACATTCAGGTTGTTCATACTTTGGAGTGCAGTGTCACTGCTCTTATCTGTCTGACGAGATGCATATTTGTACAGGATGGTTAGCAGTCAATCTAGATAACTTTAGTATAAAATCTCTCTCGGTACAGAGGAGGGAGAGGAACCTCTTTCTTCATCCACAGCCAGTCTTGCAAAATATTTTATCTTCTCTTCAAAGGGTGGGGGGAAAAGAGAGGAAAAGAATTCCACTTGTAATAACATGTAAAAATTTAAACCTAGTTAGCGTTAAATCTGCCAGGTGCTTTGCTGTTTTAAAAAGACTCTCTTCTTTTAAAAAAACAAAAAACACACAAAAACAGAAACAAAAACAAACAAACCCCAAATGTCTTTACATGCTCCCTCGCTGGGATCGCTCAGCGCATCCTTCCCAGTTCACGGTTACAATTTTTGCCATAAGGTGATTATTTAAAAGACTGAATGGAATATCTGGAGCAAATGTTACAGGGCGGATTTATTCATCCATCGTCAAATTCACGATTTCATAGTACATATGGGAACGACAATGACAAGGATAACAGTACAGGCTGCGGCTGCAATCAGGGCAGCTATTTTGCAAACTTTTGCTCTTCTGAATTCAGCTTCTTTGCGCTTTAGTAACGAGTCATAGCCTGGGGTATAGATGTCCTCCATCCAGTACTCTAAATTGTTGGGGTTTAAAGATTCTTGAGTCTGGAAAGTAACAAGAAGAAGAAAGCCATTAAGATTCTCTTTCTCTGAATTCCAGCTCTAAATAAGGCTACGCACAACTTAGGCCACATCCGCACACATTTAAAGCACTGCTGTACCACTTGAACAGTCACGACTTCCCCCAAGGAATTCTGGGAAAGCGTAGTTTGTTAAGGACCCTGAGAGTGTGCTAGGAAACCGCCATTCTGCTCACAGAACCACAATTCCCAGAGTTCCCTGGAAGAAGGCTTGATTGGTAAACCACTCTGGGAATTGTAGTTCTGTGAGGAGACTCTTCCTGCTCGATTCCCAGCAAGCAGTATTCTGACAGTGGAGGCAAAACATAGACATCATGGCTAGTGATAGCGAAGCGGACACAGGCAAGAAGTGATTCTTCTTTGAAGCCTTCTACAGTCAAATCTCGGTTGTCAAACTTAATCCGTTCTGGAAGCCTGTTCAGCTTCCGAAATGTTCGACAACCGGAACACTTACTTCCGGGTTTTCGGCATTCGGGAGCTGAAAAGTACATAAAGGGAGGTGTTCAGGAGCTGAGGTATGATTGTACAGTCATACCTTGGGTTACAGATGCTTCAGGTTGCATGTTTTCAGGTTGCGAACTGCACAGAACCTGGAACGGGTTACTTCCAGGTTTCGGCAATCGCACATGCACAGAAGCACTAAATCGCGCTTTGCGTATGCGCAGAAGCGCTGAATAACGATCCATGCATGCGCAGATGCAGCGCTGTGGGTTGCGAACACTGTGGGTTGCGAACGTGCCTCCTGCACGGATCACGTTTGCAACCCGAGCATCCACTGAATATAAAAAGAGAGTGTATTGGATCTGCTTAAAAATTCAGGCTGACAGGCAGCTTTCCAAAGATGGCTTCCTCTGTCGCCACGCTCTCAAATTTGCAACAAACAAGGAAACAAAGCTTATTATAAAGTGGCTGCCTCACGCTCCCCTGTTGCAACGCTTCCTGCTCTCAATTTGGCAGCCTCTCTAAAAACAGACTGCAAGATGTCCTTAAGTCAAGTCCTAGCAACACCTTGTGACTGAAATCTTCTAACCCCTCCAGTCTCTTGGGTCTCAGAATGGCTGATTTATTCTTGAATCTTGCCACCTGTGTGTGACAGAAACTGCGAAAAGCATCTGGTGGTGGTGGGGAAATTACTATTTAAAATACAACTCATGTGTAAATTCTGAGGGAGGGCAGGCCTGCCCAACAAGCGACCCACAGAACCGAAGGGAGCCTACCAGAACCGAAGGGGGCTGACCAGGCCTGACACCAGCATTCATAATCCTCGGTCAGTTGCCAGGGACCAACCATAATATTACTTGCCAGCTCTGAGGCTCCTGGGCCAGGTGGTGTGGAACAGTCAATTTAGCTTCCCACACAACATCTCAGAGAAGAGCTATTTCAACACCAGGCATCGTGGGAAATTAAAATGGCATCTGGTGCTGATTTGGAGTGCGACTACTGACCGCCATATGCAAAGTCCATTTGGGTGTTTTGCCCTGGGTCTTCTCAAACCTAGAAGGGAGTATCTTATTAAAAACAATTTATATATTAATTGAAATCAGATTGGTTGTTGGGTTCCTACTGAGGGCATCCGGCGAGCCAAAATGACAGTGATGAGGGATTGAGGAATGCATTGATCATTCTGTGATATTACAGCAGGGAACAAAGCTGCACTGTAACTTTTGAATAAATGAGTTTTAACAAACAAAAACAAAACAATCAACATTTTTAAGCAGCAGCAGCAACCCTGCTAGCTGATTTGCACCTCTCCAGTTGGTCAGTTTCTAAAACAGATAATTGACTGAACACTACAACCCTAGTTATAATATGCATGATGTGCTCTGAGGATTTAGAATAGGCAAAGTGAGAGATGGGGAAGTTGTTGCACTGTGGTTTGCTGCTAGACTGCAAAATCCTATGTAGCATGGACTTGTTCCATTGCTCTCCTGCTGCTGAGGCTGCCATGGAGTAAGAGACTGCTCTTGATCTCCATGGGCAGCTTGCTACATTTCCATACTGCGTGCTGAGAAAGGAAGCCCCCTCTAAGCACTGTAGCATAGAAGCCAAGCAGTTGGTGTGAATGTGTTGAGAATGGGTTGTGAGTGAACTTAGTGTGGGTGGATTTAGAGATTGAGTCAGCTATGCGCCTGAGCGTGCAAATGGTCCAAAGTGGTCAGGATGTACATACTAGCAGTGGGCAGACCAAATAAATACCAAAACTAGAAGGGATCAACACTAATAATAATAATATTTTTATATCCCACCCATCTGGCTATGTTTTCCCAGCTGCTCTGAGTGGCTTCCACCACATATAAAAACATAAAGGTAAAGGTAAAGGTACCCCTGCCCGTACGGGCCAGTCGTGTCCGACTCTGGGGTTGCGCGCCCATCTCGCTTAAGAGGCCGGGGGCCAGCGCTGTCCGGAGACACTTCCGGGTCACGTGGCCAGCGTGACAAAGCTGCATCTGGCAAGCCAGCGCAGCACACGGAAACACCGTTTACCTTCCCGCTAGTAAGCGGTCCCTATTTATCTACTTGCACCCGGGGGTGCTTTCGAACTGCTAGGTGGGCAGGCGCTGGGACCGAGCAACGGGAGCGCACCCCACCGCGGGGATTCGAACCGCCGACCTGACAATCGGCAAGTCCTAGGCGCTGAGGTTTTACCCACAGCGCCACCCGCGTCCCCTTTATAAAAACATAATAAAACATCATACAGGGCTGCCTTCAGATGTCTTCTGAAAGTTGTGTAGTTCTTTATCTCCTTGACACCTGATGGGAGGGCATCTCACAGGGAGGGCGCCCCTACCAAGAAAGCCCTCTGCCTGGTTCCCTGTAACTTCACTTCCTGCAGTGATGGAACCACCAGAAGGCACTCGGAGTTGGACCTCAGGGACCAGGCTGAATGATGGGACACCCTATCATTGCACACACCCAATTCACACACAAGTATGGTATGTTTAGGTGCACACACAAGGCCCACCCCAATGTCCTTGTGTACATTTATTCTCCATGCTTGGTCCCTGATCTTGCCTGTGTTGCCCAAGGAACCTCTCTGTGTGGCTTCTTCTTGTGTTCCTTTGAATGCTAGTAGAACTCTCTGAATGATCAAGGACCAGGGCATGTGGAAAACTGTGGACTGAGTGGGGGATGGCTATGCACACAAGGACATTGGGCATGCAGCCAGGATGTGCCCCAATCCACACTTGAGATCATTCAGGCATTCATGTGAACACCTGCACACACCTTACATGTGTGTGAATTTGTGTGAAGATGAGATGAACCTGCTGGATCAGGCCAATGACCCATCTAGTCATCCTGTTCTCACGCCCCGCCCCCCCCCGATGCCTGCAGGAGGAAATCCTCAAGTAGGAGCCAAGCACAACAGTGCTCTCCCCTCCAGTGGCTTCCTGCAATTGATATCACTGCATTATTGCCTCCGCCCCAGAGGGAGGGAATACGATTTAAATGGCTCAGGACCACAATGCCTCAAGGACCACCTCTTTCCATATGAACCTACCCGGACCCTGAAATCATCTTCTGAGGCCCTTCTTCATGTTCCTCCTCCTCGAGAGGTCAGGAGGGTGGCAACATGAGAACGGGGCCTTCTCTGCAGTGGCTCCCCATCTGTGGAATGTTCTCTCCAAGGAAGTTCGCCTGGCACCTTCATTATACACCTTTAGGCGCCAGGCAAAAACGTTCCTCTTGAACCAGGCCTTTGACTGATCTGATTTACACCCTACACACTTTTTAAAATGCTGGCTCTTTTTAGGGCGGTTCCATTGGGTTGTCGTTTGTATTTGGATTATACGTATGTGATCCTTTATGTCAGGCTTCCTCAACCTCGTCCCTCCAGATGTTTTTAGCTTACAACTCCCACGATCCCTAGCTAGCAGGACCAGTGGTCAGGGAATCTGGGAATTGTAGTCTCAAAACATCTGGAGGGCCGAGGTTGGGGATGCCTGCTTTATGTGAACCACCCTGAGACCTTCGGGTATAGGGAGGTATAGAAAATAAATAAATAAATAAATAAATAAATAAATAAATAAATAAATAAATAAAATGAGAGTGGGCCCCACCCACTCCTGGCATGTAGACCCTGACCACTTTCTCTCAAGGGAATGCAGTTCACAGGAAGAAGCTCCCACACCTCTCATATACAGGGTTGCAATCCAAACCTACTACACCCTCCAACATTTCTCCGTTGAAAATAGGGACATCCTATTTTTCTTCATCATCATCATATTTATACCCCACACATCTGACTGGGTGGCTTCCGATATATATGAAAAACATACCGTAGATTCCGGCATATAAGACGACCCTTTTAACCCCGGAAAAGAGGTTAAAATGTCGGGGGTCATCTTATACGCCAGGTATGGGTGGCGTGGAGCGGAGCGGAGCCCGCTCATTGCTGCTGCTGCGGCAGCTCTGAAGCAGCAGCAGCCAGCAGCGGGCTCCGCTCCGGGCAGCTTTCTCCTGGGGCGGAGCTGCCCAGCGTATTAGGCGACTGGGCTTATAAGACGAACCCCCAAATTGCAGCTGCCAATTTGGGGGGTCGTCTAATACGCCCAGTCGCCTAATACGCCGGAATCTATGGTAATAAAACATTAAACATTTTTAAACTTCCCTCTATGGGGCCGCCTTCAGATGTCTTCTAAAGGTTGTATAGTTACTTATCTCCTTGGTTCGGGGGTCACATAACTCCACACCCTCCAACATTTCTCCGATGAAAATAGGGACGTCTTAAGAAAAAGCGGGACATTCCCGGATCACATCAGAAACCAGGACGGCTTCTGTAAATCTGGGACTGTCCTTGGAAAACAGGGACACTTAGAGGCTCTGACATACTTACTGACAATATGCATCGCTATACCCTTCAACATTCAGGTTTCCCCTTCTTTTGGGTAGGTTCCACTTTGGCACAGGCCACCCACGGTGGAAACCAACGTGACTCACTTGTAGATCCAGAGCGGCCAACTTTCCTTTCTCGCCCGAGTTCCTCGTGTATTCCTCAATGGTCCACGACGGCTGAGCCCGCTTCACTTCCGCCAGTTCCATCAGCCGCATGTCCGTGTAGAGGGGGTTGGTCTTCATGTGCGACTTGAGCGACGCCGGGTAAGGGTGGGGGCTGAAGACTTGCTCAATCAAGAAGCCATCTTTGGGTTGCTTGGAGTGCCTTGGGGCGTGGGGGGTTTCATATTGCCTATCTGCCTGCAGTGAGTTGCACAAGTAGTTCAGAGAAGGAAAGAAAGGAGTTTCATGCTCAACAACTCAGTCGCCTTGGCTGCATCCGCATGGCTGCTTAGTCGATTCATTTTTAATTTCATTCAATGTGTTTCTATGCCGCTTTCCATTCAAACAAATCCGAAAGCGGCTTGCAAACAACAAATGGCAATTACATAATAGAGCATCACAGGCACAGTCGTATTATATATCATCCATAAAATTGTTATTATATGTATTACACCCAGGGCTGGGTGATATATCAATATATCATTCAAGACTGGTTTGAAGTCCATATTGTGATATTGGTTTCATATTTTTTTATTGCGAATCACAATGTGTGTGTGTTCTGTGCTGTGCAAAAATCACAATGCAGGAAAAACCATTCAGACATTCTGCTATATCACTATATCATCTATATCACTTTCTTTTTCCTTTCTCCTCCTGTGATGAGGCTGCATTTTAACATTTTTATATTTTACTGTTTCAATATTTTAATGTTGTATTTTAATCTTGTTTTTAAGTTGTATTCATTCAACTTGTTTTTATTACTGCTTGTTAGCCGCCCTGAGCCAGGCCTTGGCTGGGGACGGCGGGGTAATAATAATAATAATAATAATAATAATAATAATAATAATAATAATAATTTATTATTATCATTATCATCATGATGATGTTTAGCTGCTGTTGAAAACCAGATATCGCTCAGCCCTAAAAAATAAGCTAAATACTACTATTTTCACACACTTCCCCGCCAATTCAGTTCATAAAAATATACATACACACCCATCACTCAGGGCCTTGATCTAACAGAACTACAACAAAGCTATACTTTAATTTATTGGTTTATTCCATTTCCCCAATGTTTCCCTTGCTGTTTATTTCTGCATTTTACACAATGCAGAAGCCACTTACGGGAAAACTAATGGAATGCAATACCTGTTTAGTGCTCATTTCTGTGTTATTTGATTGCGGGGGGGGGGGGGGGGAATGGGACCATTTGCAGCCCTTAACCTGGAAAAATTGTGGGAGTAAAGTGACAAAATTTGGGGCAGTACACCAGCATATAGTTCTTTCCTGCCATTATCATGGAGGAACAGAAGCACACATGTAGCTTCTGTAGAAACGTTGTCCAATGATGTTGGTTTTGTCACACCATGTCTAGTGGTGTGAATGAAAGTCAATGCAAACATGCTGGTTTATGGGTCAATAAGCTACAGTTCCATAACACAACAGGTACTGCAGTGTGAAAGAAACATTAGAGCAGTGTTTCCCAACCTTTTTTGGGCAAAGGCACACTTGTTTCATGAAAAAAATCTCGAGGCACACCACCATTAGAAAATGTTAAAAAATTTAACTCTGTGCCTATATTGACTATATAAAAAGTACAGTGGTGCCTCGCAAGACGAAATTAATTCGTTCCGCAAGTCTCTTCGTCTTGCGAGTTTTTCGTCTTGCGATGCACGGTTTCCCATAGGAATGCATTGAAAATCAATTAATGCGTTCCTAGGGAAACCGCCTTCAGACCAGGTCCGGGGACAGTCTGTCCCCCGACCTCTTCTGAAGGCTGGGGGGGGGGGACAAGGGCTTTTCTTCCCACTGCCAGCCTTCAGAAGGCTGTTCTGAAGGCTGGCGGTGGGAAGAAAAGCCCTTCTTCCCACCTCCCGCCCCGCAAGCTCCGGGGACAGGAGGGCTTTGCTGCCGAGCGCCAGCATTTTAAAAGCCCCTGCTGTCCCGGGGCGATTTTAAAATGCTGGCGGGCGGGAGCAAAGTCTCCGCTGCCCCGAGGAGATTTTAAAATGCTGGGGGTCGGCAGCGAACGCTTCGCTCCCGCCCGCCAGCATTTTAAGATCGCCCGGGGCAGCGGAGAAGTCTCCGCTGTCCCGGGAAGGCAGGCGGGGGGAGCAAAGACTTTTGCCCCCGCCTGCCTTCAGAAGAGGTCCAGGACCTCGTTCCGATGCCCGGCGGCGGGGTGCGAGGTTCCCACCCCACCGCCCGGCATCGGGGCATCGTTCCGATGCCCGGCGGCGGGGTGCGAGGTTCCCGCCCCACCACCCCGCTTCGGAGCAGCGTTCCGAAGCGGGGCGGCTGGGGCAGGTGTTCCCGCCCCCCCGCCCCGCTTCGGAGCACCGGGAGAAGCGATCTCCCCGCAGCCCCTTGCTTCAAAAGAGGTCCGGGGGCAGCGGGGAAGAAGCGCTGCGCTTCCCGCTGCCCCCGGACCTCTTTTGAAGCAAGGGGCTGCGGGGAGATCGCTTCTCCCCGCAAACCCTTGCTTCAAAAGAGGTCCGGGGGCAGCGCGAAGCGCTTCCCGCTGTCCCCGGACCTCTTTTGAAGCAAGGGGCGGTGGGGAGAAGCGATCTCGGGCGCCGCGGCGTGCAGGCGCACTGCTCGCTCCTCTTTCCGCGCAGGCGCCTTCTCTCGCTCTTTCGCCTCCTTTTCTTTCTCTCTCGATGGTCCGCCTACAAAGGAGCGAGGGAGGCGCCCGCCATGTTTGGATTTGCATCCAGCAGGAGATGCCGCCGCCGCCCCGCCTCTCCCGCCTCCCTCCCACGGCACACCAGGCAAGGTCTCACGGCACACTAGTGTGCCGCGGAACACCGGTTGGGAAACACTGCATTAGAGAACGGGGCAGTAGCACTACTGTTATAATCAGGAAAACTAATGCACTAAAGGTAAAAAGGCAAAGGACCCCTGGAAGGATAAGTCCAGTCATAGGCGACTATGGGGTTGTGGTGCTCATCTCACTTTTCAGGCTGAGGGAGCGGACATTTGTTCACAGACAGCTTTCTGAGTCATGTGGCCAGCAGGACTATACCGCTTCTGGCACAATGGGACACCATGACAGAAGACAGAGTGCATGGAAACACCGTTTACCTTCCTGCCGCAGTGGTAACTATTTGTCTACTTGCACTGGCATGCTTTTGAACTGCTAGGTTGGCAGGAGCTGAGACGGAGCAACAGGAGCTCACTCCGTCGTGGCACATAGAAGACCATGAGTGAGGGAAGAATACTTCTGCGCCAAATGGTATAGAATTATTGCATGGTCAATAGAAGCACGATTTGGTCTAAACCCGGTCTGTTCATGGCCTATCAGATTGGAATCTTCGGCCCATTGGGTTAGTCTGGTTAGCAGGAAGCGAGTATAGATTTTTCCGATGATTGATAATAAACTGATATTACGATAGTTTCCTGGGTCCTCTGGTGGTCCTTTTTTATATATAGGAATTATGATGGACTCCTTCCATGATCTAGGTATCTGGCCCGTGGCATTAATTGCATCAAAGATTTTTGCAAGAATTTTGGCCCACCATGCGTCGTGGGGATTCGAACCGCCGACCTTCTGATCAGCAAGCCCAAGAGGCTCCATGGTTTAGACCACAGTGCCACCCATGTCCCATGCACTATTCCCCATTTCTGAATGCACCCCTAGTCAACCAGAAATTTCATGCAGAACAGCTCATGAAACTCCACACAGGTAAGTCGGTTGGCTGGCTAGGGAGGGTTGATTCCCTCCATCTCTTCCCTAAAACTCTGCCTCCTATGTGCAGAAGGAGGGAAGTGTCTCTGAAAGTGACTAGAAACAGGGTAAGAAATTTGGCTCCGTTCACATTTTAATATGAATCTACCAATTTTGCGGGGACACGGGTGGCGCTATGGGTTAAACCACAGAGCCTAGGGCTTTCTGATCAGAAGGTTGGCGGTTCGAATCCCTGTGACGGGGTGAGCTCCCGTTGCTCGGTCCCAGCTCCTGCCCACCTAGCAGTTCAAAAGCATGTCAAACTGCAAGTAGATAAATAGGTACTGCTCCAGTGGGAAGGTAAACGGCGTTTCCGTGCGCTGCTCTGGTTCAGCAGAAGCGGCTTAGTCATGCTGGCCACATGACCCGGAAGCTATATGCCGGCTCCCTCGGCCAATAAAGCAAGATGAGCGCCACAACCCCAGAGTCGGTCACGACTGGACCTAATGGTCAGGGGTCCCTTTACCTTTACCTTACAAATTTTGCACGTTCTGAAATAATATACAAATTGAAACATTCTTCTTTGGATTTCTCGAAATAAAATAAAATAAATTCTCAAGGCACCTGACATAACTAAACAAACAAAACTTCAACAATTCAAAACAGGATAAATAACTAAAAGAAAACCCATAAGCATAATAGTATACACAGGAGCAAGCAAGGCTTTAATCATTCATAAAAGCCTTGTGAACGAGAAAGACTTTAAAGCCTGTTTAAAAACAAGAAGAAAGTTATTTGTATAAGTTATTTAATATACTCATAAAGTTCTGCACCGCTCAACCAAGAAGAAAGATCTTCTTTAAAATGCCCACAAACTACAAACATGTTACACAATGTGACAAGAACATGTTACATACTCTCTTAGTCTTTAAACCATCCCTAGTTTCCTCAAATCACACACTACAAACATAATTTTCCCCTGAAAAACCACCCCAGCAAAATCTATGAAAGAACAATGCACAGAACCTGTCAACAAGCTGAAGTCTCTCACCAAATACTGAATTCATTCAAAATAAGCCATTTCTTATCCCATCCACCTCAAATTCATCATGGGCTGCCCTCGAAGCTGTCTCTCCTATGCTGCTAAGTTTCATATCATTCTGCTGAGACATGCTCAAACTATAAGTCGTAGAACGTACTACCGCCCTTCAATTTCTCATCATAAATGGAGGGACACGATTCAGTCAACACACATACCCCTAACCGTTGTGGCTCTATAATTAAAAATAACAATAAACTTTCGTTTCCCTCTCACAGTTCTTTTCTGTCCTTCACACATCTGTGTTGGCATGTTCCAACTGACCTGTCTGACAGACATTCTCACTCCACCCAACTTTCCTCCACCTAACCTTCTCTCACAACAAGTTCGTACTGAGCATGTGCAAGGAACATCCTTATGAAATCCCATTGACCAACATTGGCCACAAAAATGCCTTTTTGATTTATTTATTTTTAACCCAATTTACAAACATATTGCACTACTATTAGACAAAAACACACACTCTAGGCATCCCCTTTGACCTAACAGAAAAGATGCAGAACAAATGGAGAAATATTTATGGAAAAATCACCTGAGCAATGTCTAAGAAATAAAAACATAAGGTACCCATCAAGAAGCTGGTATTTTGTTTAGTTTTTTAAAAAACTTCTTCAGAATAAGCCATTTCTTACCCCTTCTACCCCAAATTTGGCTTGAACCATCCTGAAAAATGCCTCTCCTACGCTGCCCAGTTTAAAATCAGTTTGATGAACCATTTTCTAACTACCCCCTGGAAACCTGACTTCTCATTATAATGGTGGGATTTAATTCAGCCAATTTACCCTTAACATAAGGTGATGAGTGTGGCCCTATAATTATAGACTAACATCAGATAATAATAATAATAATAATAATAATAATAATAATAATAATAATAATAATAATAATGATGTCAGAATACAAAGATATCTAAACAGAGGGAGAGCACATGTGAGTATACACTTCTTAAAGGCATTTCTCACCAACAGGTGAGTCCTATCTGTAAAGAATTAACATGCAAACTGAACTGTCAAATGAACTATACAAGTCTACTTGCTTTCAGGTTAGCTCAGTTGGCCTAGGTGGTGAATTTGATTCCCGTATGGATGCATATTCCTGCATTGCAGAGGATTGGACTAGATGATCCATGGGGTCCCTTTCCAATTCTATGATTCTAAGTATACCATGTAAATTTAAAAAATCTACATTTTGGGGTGGCTGGTGTTGTTTTGGGACAATCTCAAATTATACGATCGGTGTTGTTTTTAGACTGCAGCTCTTTATGTATTCTGGATATTGCCATGGGGAAGAAAAAAACAAGTGGGTTAAGAAAACAGATGGAAATTCATTAAAACAATTCTAACAGTAGTGTAGTAGTAGGCAGATGTTGTAATCCTCGGAGCCTTTTGAGAATTACGCCAGATCCTTTTCATGCAGTCAAGTTAAAAATATAATTCACTGAGCAGAAATTGAAAAATTACCTCTTTGGATTTTCTGTGCCAGTCTTTGTTCTCGCCTCCACCCCTGTCTTTCATATCTTCCTCCGTAATGCCAGCTTGGTTCGTATATGTGATAGCTCGCCAGTCTCTAGGGGAGTTAGATATACTAGCTATCTTGGATTCTGTGGCACTGTTTTCCTCTGTCAGTGACCTCGAAGACCTCCTGGTGAACAAGCTTTTTTTTAAGGCTTTGACCCGGAGGCTTTCGCTATTGCTGCCACTGGCATCCGAACAACACCAGTCCGGATTATTCTCCAGTTTGCCTCCGTGCGAAGAATTATGGCACGAAAAGATCCTGGGCGAGGTACTTTCTTCAGACTGAACCTCACTGGTCAAGGAATTGAGATCCAGTTGGACGCTCACTTTCTCTGGCTGCTGAATCTTTTGATCCAACTTGTTCAGCTTTCCCAGGACTTGGGAAATTTCATCCCTGACGCTGGAGAGAGACTCCAGTTTCTTTTCAATTTCCCCAATCCTTAGAACCAGTTTGCAGACGCTGGTTTTCAGCTCGTCGTCTGTGCCGCTGATCTCCAGGCGCGAGACTTTTTCCAGCTTGTTGCCGGCATTGCCGTTGGAGATTTTAGCCAAGTGGTGTTCAGGGGAGCTTTCGCAGTCCGATTTGTGTATCTGAGAAAGCGAGCCGGTGCTGTTGTAACACGACGACTGCATCACCCCGGTAGACCCACAGATGCTCATGTCATCCAGAAACCTGAAGATATCGCTGATGTCGTCGCTGACAATTTCAGAGTCGTCGTCGGACTGCTTAAGAGAATGTCTCTCTCCGTATTTATTCTGACTGGGGTGGACCATCTCTTTGCACTTCTTGTGTTCCAGCCCTTGTTGGTCTGTCTGCGTCCCCACACTGTTCGTTTTGTCAATGCTCAGAAGCTGGATGGAGGTGCAGTTAATACTCTTGTCTTTAAACTTCTTCATGGGCTCGTGCTTCTCCACTTCCAAGATGGAGGGGATGTCTTTGGGTTTATGCCCGTTCGGTTTCATGGCGTAGCCAGACTGCATCATTGACTGCTGATCCTTGGGGTTGAGATAAGGCTGGCGCCTCTCTGTGGCTGGGAAATTGGAAGGCTGGCTGTTTGAACCCTGGTACCGTGGATTCTCTTCGGACTGTTTCCTGTTGAAAAAGGACCTTTCAAAATCAGGTACTTCTTCGGTGTTCAAACTCCAGCTTTTGACTGGCCACGGGGTTTGTTTGCTCGGCTTCCCCAGCCACCGTTTGGTTTCTTGTGGTCCGAGAACGGTTGTCGGGCCGAAGTAAGTAGAAGCCTGGAGATCGTCTAAGCTTTCATGCTTGACTCTCCTTTTATCAGGCACAGGCGAATAAATCGGGTTCAAGTACTGACTGCTGTAGGGCATCTCAAAGCTATGGTTGAAAAACGCCTGCTTGGAGGTCTCTTTCCTGCCCGGAGGTTCGACGAGCTCGTCCTCTGCTTTGCTAGTGGGCGACATTAAGCTGGGCGAAATGGTTATGAGGTTGTGGAAGTCCTCCTTGAAGATGTTCCGCTTCTGCACGCACGACTGCATCACAAACGGCTCGTCGTTCGAAATGAACGCCTCCTTGATGCTCCCGCTGATGGGCAAGGAGTCCTGGTCAGATATAGACTCGGTTTCGAGGTTCATGGGGAAATATGTGCTCTGCATCTCGCAGGGGGGAGAGCTGGCAATGGTGTAGGACGCCAAGGCCTGCAGTCGGTCGAGGGAAGCCGCTCGCCCTTTCATCTCCTTATTGACCCCAAGCAGAAAGTTGGGCTCGGAAGCAGGTACGAACTGCGGGCAGTCCTTGCAATCCCCTTTCCTGCATTTGGACGACCTCCTGTTCGAATACCCCCTGTTAAATTCTCCACCCCTCAGCTCGCAGTTGAGCACGCAGTCCACCATATTGCACACTTCTGTGTCCGATCGGCAGGACTCCAGAGACTCTTTCTTCCCCATCTTTCCTCGTGAAACAGGAAGCTTCTCCTTGGCCACCCCACCGTTCATCTGTATGAGGTTGAATATCGTCACGATGTCTGCCGCAACCATGATCTTCTTCGACTGCTGGTTGTTCACGCTGCACCTCATTTTGTCCTTGAACAAGGTGGCAGGGAAATTAGGGTCTAGGCAGGCAGTGTAGAAAAGCACACTCCGCAGCTTGGCCAACTGGGACAGATCAAACCTAGCACATAGCGATTTGCAGAGATCCTGGTAGGAGACAGAGTTTTGTTTGGTATCCAGCTCCTCCAAAATGTTCACAAGGAACAGAGAAGAGTCCTGACTCGTTTCCATGGCTGGTGGAGATCAGGCTTTGCCGCTTATCCCAGTCGCGTTATTCCAGTTCTAAATGAAGACACAACAGGAAAGAGAAACAAAGTAAGCTGTGTTTCGTAAGCCACCACAAGAAGCTATACCATGTCATCTATCTCAGTACAGTGGTACCTTGGTTCTCAAACGCCTTGGTACTCAAACAACCTGGAACTCAAACACTGCAAACCCGGAAGTAAGTGTTCCGGTTTGCAAACTTTTTCCCAGAAGCTGAACATGCTCTGTTTTGAGTGTTACACTTCCAATTTGAGTGCCACATTTCTGTTTTGAGTGTTAAGCTGTTTTTGCTATTTGTTTTGAGTTTTTGTGGCTCTTTTTTGTTTTTGTGACTGTGTGGAACCCAGTTCAGCTACTGATTGATTGTGTGATTGCAGTACACTGTTTACTGCTTTCCTTTTATGGATCAATGGTCTCATTAGATAATAAAATTCATGTTAAATTGCTTGTATAGGGGTTGTTTTCAAAAGTCTGCAACGGATTAATCCATTTTGCATTACTTTCTACGGGAAAGCGCGCCTTAGTTTTGGAATGCTTTGGTTTTGTAACAGACTTCTAGAACGGATTAAGTTTGAGAACCAAGGTACCACTGTATTTCTCAGTCACACTGTAGCAAACACTGGGAATTCTTTTGTTAATTCATATTTGTGTTTGTATGTGCCCTTAGTGGCTCACAGCATCCAATAAACAATGATATAGCAAATTTAAAAGCATAAATAACCACAATTACATACAATCATAGAGTTAATGCCTCTGATTAGTAGTAGGGAAGGGACATAGCTCAGTGGAAGAGAACCTGCTTTGGTGCATGTTCAAGCCCCAACATTTCCAGGTGGGTCTGGGAGAGGACCCTGGAGAATTGTTGACAGTCAGTGTTCACAATACAGAGACCTCTGCTCCCCTCACAGAGCTACAATTCCCAGAGCGGTATAACATTTAATCTCTGGAAGAAGAAAAGAGGATGCCCCTCTAATACATCACAGCACCCTTAATGAAGTTCCCATAATTCCTTGGGGGAAGCCATGACTAGTTAACAGGCTGTGGGGAGAACCTTGAAGCCAGTCAATGCATCTCTCATTCCTTGCAGCCCCAGCTAACCTCATGCTGGGTGCAGGGAATCACTAGAGCAGGCAATAATCACGATGAGGGGGACACCGCAAAGCCAGCCAATGCCTCTACATAAAAGGTAAAGGTAAAGGTACCCCTGCCCGTACGGGCCAGTCTTGACAGACTCTAGGGTTGTGCGCTCATCTCACTCTATAGGCCGGTCAGCTCCATCCTTATTCCAGACATCATGATACATAGGTATATTGTATCACCCAACCCTAAATACCGAGTCCAAATTGGTTCATGTGTGAGGAAACACAGAGGCCGTGAGCTGCAGAAGGCTTTATAGGTCAAAACCAGCACTCTGAATTATAGTCATACCTCGGGTTAAAGACGGTTCGGGTTAAATCTTTTCAGGTTGCGTCCCGTGGCAACCTGGAAGTACTGGAAAGGGTTACTTCCGGGTTTCGCCACTCGTGCATGCGCAGACACTCAAAATGACGTCACACGCATGTGCAGAAGCTGCGAATCGCAACCCGCGCACGCACAGACGCGGGCTGCGTTCTGCTCAGGTTGCGAACGGGGCTCCAGAACGGATCCTGTTCGCAACCAGAGGTACCACTGTAGTCCAAAATATAACTGGTAGCCATTACAGCCATGCCAGGATTGGTGTTATGTCCTCAGAATACCATACCCCAGTCAGCAATCCCAAAATTTTGAGAATTACAGTGGTACCTTGGGTTAAGAACTTAATTCGTTCTGGAGGTCCATTCTTAACCTGAAACTTTAGCTAACGGGGCCTCCTGCTGCCGCAGCACCGCTGGCGCGTGATTTCTGTTCTCATCCTGAAGCAAAGTTCTTAACCCGAGGTACTATTTCTGGGTTAGCGGAGTCTGTAACCTGAAGCGTATGTAACCTGAAGCATATGTAACCCGAGGTACCACTGTATAGGGACAGAACTACCTAAACTGTATAGAAATGTATTTACGTATGAAACTGTAGCAGCAAGAATGCTACTTGCCCAAAAGTGGAAAGAAGCAGAAGTCCCAGCAAAGGAAGACTGGATACAAAAACTTATGGGATATGCAGAAATGGCGAAACTTACTGGAAGAATGAGAAATCAAGATAACAAACTTTTTATAAAAGAATGGAAATGGTTTATTGAATATTTACAGATAAATTGCAAACAGATAAAAACATTAGCAGGATTATTGTAATAACCTGCAGTTTCATAAGAATATATATTTTAAAGTAGATAATTAAATGAGCAAATTAAATGAATTTGGACAGTGCTTTTTTCTGTTAAAAAAAAAGTTTAGGAGTACTCTCATTTTCCTACTCTGATTGAAATACTGCCCCTCAATGAGGCCAAACTTAGATTCACAAAATGTTTAGGGGTATGTGTACCCCTGCGTACCCCACAGAAGAAAAGCACTGAATTTGGATATGCAGAAGATGTTAAAAAATAAATTTAAGGAACCGCAGAAAGAGGGGGAAGGAAGTCACGCTTTGAAATGCTAATTTGATTGTAAAACTAATGAAATGCACCAACTTGGAAAGTATAAATAAAAACTCTTTTAAAAAAATGATTGCATCAAGATGTTTTTCAAGATATGCTTTACTAACATGCTTGCAGTGTACGTACGTCTCAGTAAAACTGCATCAAAGGAATCTTGACCGTACATCATCTTAGGATGACTTTCCCCAGCGTTTTATCAATGCCCATGGGGAGCGAGGGGGAAATAACACGAGCAGAAGAAAGGCATCAATACCTGCAGCCTTTTTTCAGGAAGGGCCATGCATCCTACTCTACAGAGGCCAGTCCTGTATTTGAAGGAGTCTTCTATCTGAAGTCCTGTCTGGTTGACAGATTAAAGGACCATAAGAGCAGAAAGGAAGGGCCTTGAAGTTGCCCATCAACAGTTAATACCTGAACAGCAAACTGAGCAGGTACGTCTCTTGCATTTCTATTCAAACTGTAGTGATTATTTTTCATATTTGCATCTATCCATATAAATTAGCGCATGCACATTTTTATGCAGCCTGTGTCCCACCTTCGTCCATTTCTTTGAGCGATTCGTTCCCTCTGCTTTGTCAATCTCTAAATGGCCCAATTCCTAAATTAATTGTGGGGATTCTAGCTGAAAGCAGAATTGAGGGAAGGTGGATCTCAGAGCAAAGCAGGTAAGCCGGAAAACAAACACACCAAGGAAAGGAACGGTGGTCTCATTATTACAGGATACTCTATAGCAGGGGTCAGCAACCTTTTTCAGCCGTGGGCCGGTCCACCGTCCCTCAGACCATGTGGTGGGCCGGACTATATTTTGAAGGAAAAAAATGAACGAATTCCTATGCCCCACAAATAACCCAGAGATGAGTTTTAAATAAAAGGACACATTCTAAGTGGTTATGTAAGCTTTCAGAATACTTAGAATTAGCCAAATTGACAGACATAATAGGACAAAAACCAAAAAGTGAAGTAAAAAAAAGAATGGGTGTGCCTAAAGGAATACCTCAAAAGTCAAGGTTCGAGGACAGAAATCTGGCTGAGTCTGAAATAACCTTGTGAAGTGAAAGGATAAGAAAGGGATTTATATCTACATGTTAGGCTAGAGATGATAAGGAAAACAGTAAAAACAGGAAGACACAAAGAGAGATAAAGGAGGTGCTGTGGGATTGGTGGAAGTCAATGTTTTGTTGTTGTTTTTATAGTGTTTATATTATTAACTTGTAAGATATGGATTTGGTTTTTTTTTAGTTGTTGTTGCTTTTTTAGTTTTTCGAATGTTGGTTTTAGTGTGTTGTGTATTGTTATTTTTAGATATTTTTCGTGTTGTTGTGTGGAAAATACTAATAATTTTTTTTTTTTAAGGACACATTCTACTCATGTAAAAACACGCTGATTCCTGGAACGTCCACGGGCCGGATTTAGAAGGCAATTGGGCCCACAGGCCTTAGGTTGCCTACCCCTGCTCTATACAGTGGTAAAGGTAAAGGTACCCCTGACCATTAGGTCCAGTCATGACCGACTCTGGGGTTGCGGCACTCATCTCGCTCTATGGGCCGAGGAAGCCGGCGTTTGCCCACAGACAGCTTCCGGGTCATGTGGCCAGCATGACTAAGCCGCTTCTGGTGAACCAGAGCAGTGCACGGAAACGCCGTTTACCTTCCCGCCGGAGCGGTACCTATTTATCTACTTGCACTTTGATGTGCTTTCGAACTGCTAGGTTGGCAGGAGCAGGGACCGAGCAACGGGAGATCACCCCGTCACGGGGATTCAAACCGCCAACCTTCTAATCAGCAAGTCCTAGGCCCTGTGGTTTAACCCACAGCGCCACCCGCGTCCCATTTCTATACAGTGGTACCTCGGGTTAAGAACTTAATTCGTTCTGGAGGTCCGTTCTTAACCTGAAACTGTTCTTAACCTGAGGTACCACTTTAGCTAATGGGGCCTCTCACTGCTGCTGCACCACCGGAGCACGATTTCTGTTCTCATCCTGAAGCAAAGTTCTTCACCTGAGGTACTATTTCTGGGTTAGCGGAGTCTGTAACCTGAAGCGTCTGTAACCTGAAGCGTCTGTAACCCAAGGTACCACTCTAGTATGAATCCTTTGACGGGGGCCTGACCTTGAGAAGTATGTGCTCTACTACTCAGGGACGCCCTGGGTGTCATCCGGAAGGGGGGTGACATTCGGTGTGGGTTGCCGCCTGCGACTCCCCCAAGCCCAGTGAGCGGCAAAGCTACGACTCTCCACCTTCCCCTGGCTCTTTGTAGGGGAGGATCGCGCAGCCACGTCAATCGGCCTGTGGGCAGATCGCCCCACCTCTGGATGCATGGCATGTGTACCACTCTGGGTGCCAGAGAACCCAGCTCTGCCCCTGCTACTGCCAAGGCATGAATGCTGCCCACCTCCCCTGCCAAATAACTTTACCGGCTTCTGGGGCTTCTCTGTCCTCTGTCTTACATGGGC